TATTTTTAAGGGACGATAAAGCTTGTTGTTCAGCCCTTGTAAGGTTGGAGCCATGATGGTCACGGGTGAGGGAATCCAACCTTTCAAGATCTCTATGGATCAATTTATAAAAAACTTCAACCTCTGCCATAGGAGGACAAAAGGTGCTGCGATTCCATAACTGCAATTCCTTAGCTGGAAGGACATCTGGGTTCGAGGGTGGTACATCACTATTATCTTTATGTTGTTTGCTAGAAAAAAAAGATTTTTAAATTAATAGACCTGAGAAACTGCTCAGTGCTAAGAAATAAATCAAACAAATTAGATTCAGCAGTACGGCAAAAAGAAAGTCCTTTAGCTAGTACCTTAAGTTCATTCTCTTTGAGTATAGTATTAGATATGTTAACTACTGTTAAGTCCTCCTGCTGGGATTGTACATCCCAGGTTGGTATGTCTTGTTCTCCCGGTCTGGATTCAATCTGACCTTTGGTCTTGTTAACTGCGTCTCGTTTTTCTCTTGCTTGACTTTTCCATTGCTCTATTGCTAAAAAAGAGTTAGAGTATTGTGTTTTAGTAGACATCTGATCATCTGAAGTATCATAGTCCACAATGAAAGTCCGTGAGAGACTTAATAAGCATACATCTACTATCAGAATGAAACAGAAGGAACTCCCTGTACCTGCTAATTTTTTGGAGCATAATCATAATATTTCTTAACTACGTTTTCAAGTTATTGACCATCGGCCCCCACTGAAGAGAGGTGGTAACCGACAGGGCTTGCTTAAAAAGAGAGAATCCAGTTGGATTCATACATTAGATACCTTATGGCCTAAGGGACTTAATAGGGAGTTTTCGGTGGCCGGACGTCGAATGAAGCTGGCAGCACACTGAAAGAGCTCCGCAGCTCAGGGCTCTTAAACGCGGCTAAAACCCACTTTTATCGGCTCACACCCGACTAACAGACACAGGTCAACGATGTCCCAACACCGCACAAAAAAAGGTGCGGACACGAAGGACAAGGCAGCCTTCTTTGTAGCCAGAACTCCGCACCCCAAGCAGGCTGAAACACAGGCCCAAGATGGCGCTGAGTCTGATCTCCATGCGGACCTTGTCGACGCGCAAGAGGCTGTCGCGGACACCCTGCTGACTCCGAACCTACTGCAAAAAATGCTGGACGCAGCGGTCACGAAAATGCAGGTATCGTTCACATCAGCCCTAGCAAAAATCAACAACGAGATTACTGACCTGGACGCACGAACCTCCCAAATAGAGGAAAAAATTGAAGAATCTACCACGGCCCAAGCAGCTATTGAAGACAGGCTAGTAGATATCGAAAAGAGACTGTCACTACACGAAACTAAAATCACGGACGCAGAAGACAGGTCTCGCCGCAACAATATCAGGCTCAGAGGGGTCCCAGAGGACGTGGAAGCCTTCAACGGCCTTCACCATGGAGCTGTTCCGTGCGGTCTTGCCGGACATACCCGCTGACATGCTCTTACTAGACCGCATCCATAGACTCCCCAGACCGCAACACCTACCACCAACCACGCCTCGAGACGTGCTCATGCGGCTCCATTATTACCACACCAAAGACCAAATCCTTCGAGCACACAGAACTAGAAAAGACCTGCCTGATAAATTTAAACCTATCCTCCTATTTACGGACCTGTCGGCGGAAACACTTCGGCAGAGAAGATCCTTCAAACCCGTTGCAGAGGCTCTAAGGCACCACCGCATTCCCTACAGATGGGGCTACCCAGCGAAACTCCTCATCACCAAAGGAGGAAAATTACTCACAGCCGCCTCACCGAGAGAAGGCCTGGAGCTGCTGCACAAATGGGACATAGCCCCAAACCTACAAGCAACGGGCCTCCGCAAGACACAGGGCACCGACGGACGCCCACAGCGGCAGAGGCGAGCTACTTCCAGAGACGACGACCACTAACCATACCTGGAACAGCAAGTGTTATTTTCTTAAAAAATGTGTTTGGCTATGGGTTTGCTGATATATTTGTTTATTACCTAGTTTAACCGCATCCCACGAGGGTTGACACGTTACAGGCAACCTCTACATACTATACAATATATACAAAAAAAAAAAGAGAGAGAGAGAGAAAAAAAGGAAGAAAAAAATGAAAAATAAAATAAAAAAAAATTTCAATATATAGCAGAAATATACTAAGATACAGATTGAGTGGCGAGACTAATGATCCACAGGATCAGCCACGCTTAACCTTCCCGTTGCATTAGACTCGGGGTGACCCTTGGGGACTGCGAGGGTGGACAATACTGTACGGGCTGTATATGCACAGATTAAAGGGTTTGTGACACCTGATAACACCACAGTACTAATCTCTCCCACGACTACTCCATCATTATAACCCTGACGAAAATCTTCAGGATGGTAGCAATGCACCACCCCTCGCGACAAGCGGACAAACATATCGCCACGACACACAGCTCCAAGGGCCCTACTAGTAGAGTCTCCCCCGAGTTGCCCACCTTGACTCAAAGCCAAATGTTACACCCCATACGCCTGTACCGAACCGATGCGGCGCTCACCTGAAAACCTTCCCCCGCAACGGCACCCCTGGACATGGCGAGAACCGAGCGCACTCTTACACTTGCTGACCTAACATATTTTACGGGTGGGGCCTACACAAAGTATGCCCTAGTCAGCGGTCAGCTGGATTCGACCCGACCGCACTACCCCCGCTTGAGTAGTGCCATCCCCGGCACATACCCCTGAAAGTACCTTCTGTATATTCCTTTTTTTCCTGGATAACACCAGGAAAGTACTGGACCTATACAAAATATTAAAAAACACCAAACAACCGAGTGTTATGCTATCCCTAGACGCCGAGAAGGCGTTAGACCGCCTGAACTGGCAATTCCTTCAGGAAACCCTACCTGAAGGAATTGCCCTATACAGTCCTCTCTGCAGTCAGAGCCCTATACAGTGATCCCAGGGCGACGGTACTCACCTCGGGATTTAGCTCCCAGGCCTTCCCCATTACAAATGGAACCCAACAAGGATGCCCACTGTCCCCTCTCCTTTATGTGTTGGCCTTGGAACCCTTGGCAATAGCAATTCGGCCAATGACTCCATTCGTGGTGTACCAGTGGGCCAGACAGAATACAAACTAAGCTTATTCGCCGATGACATCCTCCTCACACTCACACAGCCACTCATAACACTCCCCTCCTTGCACAAAGAAATACATGCATACAGCCAACAGTCTTATTACAAGCTCAACGTGGCTAAAACACAAGCGATGTGCCTTAACACACCAAAACACATAGAAACACTCCTGAAATCCGGCCATTGCTTTGACTGGAGAGAAGACTATCTGGTGTACCTAGGTGTCAAAATAACCCACAGAGAAAATGAGCTATTTCCTACCAACTACACAAAACTGCACAAAGATACAGACACCCAACTACAAACATGGATAGGCCTATACCTATCATGGGTTGGACGAATAGCGGCATTAAAAATGACAATTCTACCTAAAATTCTCTATCTCTTCCGGACGCTACAAATCAAAATCCCACAAAGCTATCTCACAAAATTACAAGCCACCCTTCTCAGATTCAGCTGGGGCGGCAAACACCGTCGGGTCCCCAAATCGCTACTGCTGAGGAATGCGAAACATGGGGGAATGAGCTTTCCTAATATCAAAGCGTATTATCACTCCGTCATCCTTACGAATGTGATCAGCGCCCACTCGGCCACATACAATCCCCAATGGGTAGCGATAGAGAATAATTATATTGAGAACCAAGACCTGCCAACAATGCTCTGGATACCCCGGCACTTAAGACAGAAACCTACAACCATGCTGAACACCACCAAGCGCCTCCTTACAATATGGGACACCTACAGGGACCTATTGTGCTCAGCACACCCATGGGCCCTGGCAACTCCAATCCGGACACTGCACCAATGCAATGGCACATTCCCACATCATAAATGGGAAGAAAAAGGAATTACATATGTCTACCAACTGTGCACCAGGGAGGGTCTCAAAACGTTTCCAGACCTACAGAAAGAATTTTCCCTACCCCCGAGCTACACATTCGCCTATCTACAAATCAAAGCACTGATGACCCACAACGTAATCACAGTTATGGAACACTCACTGAGATCATCCATAACGAAATTTGAAGCACAATGCCTCTCCCTAGACCCCCCGAAGAAAACGGTCTCTATCTGTTACGACTACCTTGCCAACCCTGATAACAACGTCACGTGGAAGTTCATGCAGGACTGGCAGACAGACCTCCAAGTCACAATATCCCCAAAAGACTGGGAAAAGATCTTCACCTCTCATATAGGGCTGACAACAAGTACAGCACACCTGGAAGCATCCAGGAAAATATTATACCGATGGTACATGGTACCGACCCGACTGCACACCATATTCCCCGACACTTCCGACCTTTGCTGGCGCTGCCACGCTACTAAGGGAACTATGTTACATATGTGGTGGACATGTGACAGTGTGCAAGATCTATGGAAAACCACAGCCCAACTTATAAGGAATGTCACAAATCTCCAATTAGCTCTTGACCCTAAAACACTGCTACTCCGATTGCTTCCAGACGACTTTCCAAAACCGATCAAGAAACTGATATATCTCATCCTGGGCACGGTGTCCATATTAATAGCCAGAAAATGGAAAACAGCGGACTTGCCCTCCATCCGAGAAATTGAAACAGAAGTGACACTGGCAATGGAGTACGAACTCATCATGTGGAAGCAGACAAAAATCGGGAAACTAAGCCCCTATACCACCACGATATGGCAAAACTACGCACAACAACTCACACAAAACCAACACAGATCCTCCTAGGCCCACAGAGAAGCCACGGCAGTGGCTGCCAAAAGGACAACACCCTTTAAACCAGCACCGATCTCCCGACGCACTTATCAGACTATCCTGTAACATAGATGTCACGACCTTAGGACCCACCATCAGCCGCAAACCGGTACCACGCTGCTACCCCCTTCCACCTACCACCTGTCCCTCAATACACTGGACCCCCCACTTCCCTCCCCCCCCCCTCTCTAACCTCATAACCTCATAACACAATACAGACACCCTGCTCAGAGGCGACACCCTCACCCCCACAGAGATAGGGGACCTTGACCAATACTGTAACGAACCGACTCCACAAAATTCAGTACACCGACACCGTACGTAGCCACATGAGCGAACTCCCCGACCACCAGAAGCCCCTCCCACGCGCACCACCCACTGAAACACCACGATATCAGTGTAAAGACTAAGTGAGAAATGTTGGATTGTGTCAAGGGTGTTACCCCCTCCTTCCTTTCTGTTCCCCCCCTTGATTAAAGTTATATGTCACAACATGTATAGCAAAGATTGTACAACACCACTATGTACGTTTGAAGCTCCCCCTTCTCTTCTGTACCCCATTTCCTTGTCTTTATGAAAATAAAAATTTCAAATTAAAAAAAAAAAAAAAAAAAATAGGGAGTTTTCCTTTACTTCCCTTTTGTGATTGGGTGTTTACTAACCATGATATACTTATTGTTCTTGGGTCATCTGTTTTCACAGTGATTCTTGAAGTTATATCATACCCTCTTGGACCCACCCAACATGTGGTGGAGTTACTTTAGGAATGTTCAGAATCACATTGTGATCGTTTTGCTATTTATATATATATATAAATATTATATTTTATTTTTTTATACTGCTAGGCTTCTGGACTCTTTAAATGCTAAAATAACTATAAGTCCTTTTCTTTTGAGGACCCCTTGTATTCCCGTTTATACAAAGAGAGAAAGTTTTTATTCTCTCATTTCTATAAAGTACTCCTAAATTAGTCATTGATACTTTTCTAACTTTATATATATTTCTAGACACTAGTCCTATCTGTTATATTTGACATGACATCATACTTTCTTCGTGTTATGGAATATTTACTGTAGATGATTATATTATTATGGTACTGTATATTAAGTTAGTGTACCTTTTAAATCTTCACATTTATTTTAATAGACTTCATTTGTATTGTACTTTCTAATCTAATATCTAAAGGTTTTTTGCCTGCTATGTGAATTCAAAACATGCTTATTTAACTTAGTGCATTAGATGTGATATCTGATTTTTTATGTTATAGAATATTTACCATAGATGAGCGCATTACCATGCTATTAAATAATAGGTCACTGTATCTTTAAGACTCGGACTGTGTCGAACAGACTTTGTTTATATAGTACTTTCTAATTAATTATTGTTATTAATTGCATGGGTATATGTATGCAGTTTAGCTTGCTGTACTAGACAGGATATTTAACCCTTTTATGCTATGTAATATTAACTAGAGATGAGTATATTACTATGTGATTGTATAATATCTTTAAATCCTGATCCTATACTTGAGTAGATTCCATGTCTTGTTTTTAAATGTCACTGATACATATGTTTTAACATGTGATTGTAATCTTTAATTAAATAGAAAAGATATATAATTAAATACCCTTCGTCCCTGATCAGCGAACTGTTGAATCAGAGACTAGGGTACAAAGGTCAGGATGGTGGTACCAGTCCCACCTAAATGTGGGCTTGAACCCAAATATTTACATAAAAAATGCAAAGATACAATAATTGGATAACTCCCCTTTAAAGAAGGTGGGCTCCCAATGTATCTGGTAGTGATAGTAAAGAGAACGCCAACTAATACGAGGATATACCTATAGACTTATCAAAAGTATAAAAAAAGGGTGGTAACTACAGGGAAAGTATATGTTGATATTTTAGACACTGAATAAACATGTATCCTAGCATAAACAGTGATACACTGCAACTTTATTAACTGTACTGTAGAGAGGATACAACGTATCAGTGTCTCTGAAATGCTTATAACCCTAAAATCCTTTGTGGATTGACCTCAGTGTCCAGATCTCAATTGAGGCATGCTAAGTGTGATCACTATTCTAATTTCCTGTGATCTCCTCTTAACACCTTCATGGGTGTTCTATAGTAAGTAAGCTAGCTACGCGCTGTCCCCTAACACTATTGCCACTACACTAGTAAAGCTCCATAAAGAATTAACATTTAAACTAATGAAAAAAACCAAAAAAACAAAAGTAAAGGTGTATGAAGGATTCCCTCGTGCATAGTGAAGTGCTCGAGTGAGTGGAGGGAAATTCAAAAGGAAAACCCGACGTGCGTTTCGGAGTACAAGACTCCTTCGTCAGGGGCTGAAAATTGCCGCCCGAACTCCCCCCGGTATTTAAATATGAATTAGCCAATCCAGAATGTTAAAGTGAATTTCGTCATTGATGACGTGTCGCTTTGCGAACACGTAGGGTTGCCGTGGGCGGGATATGAGACTGTAGCATCAGAATGATTGACAGTGAGTACACTCCCTCTTATCCCGAACAGTAAAAACTCATTAGACGAATTTTATATGTCTAAAAATCAACTTATGAAGTTGTTAAAAGTACTGGATGGCGGGCGTGGCCGACCGCCGAGCAACCTGGCAGCCTAGGAAATTGCTCCGGCACTTGGGCTCTAGGAATCTGACGACATCGTCTCCCAGGGCTCAGAAAACCCTCAAAATACACGAGATCGCGAACCCCAAAGGGAAGAAGAGCATGCAGAAAGCTGAAAAATGAAACTTTTTCAACCACAAAAACGCGAGTGGCTCCGAAACCGACCGCGGCACAATCCAAGATGGCGCTGACGAACAAACGGCGGGAAACATCCCACTCACGGGCGCATCTCATGATAGCCAGGAAAACCTAAGTAAAGCACACCTGGATGAAGCGATGAACGCCATGGCTAACAAACTCATACAAACATGGCAATCCTCCATAGGACAACTCCGCAAGGAAGTCCAGGACATTGGCAACCAAACCACACACGTGGAAAATAAGCTGAGCGAATATGCAACAGCGCACAACGACATGGCCGATCATGTGGCGCGGCTGGAACAAAAAATTGAAACAATGGAGGCACGTATGGCTGATGCTGAAGATCGCTCGCGGAGAAACAACCTCAGGCTATGAGGAGTCCCGGAGAGCATCATGCCTAATGACCTACAAGCCCATGTGCAAGGCCTTCTGAGGGCGTATGCTCCGGACATTCCCACGGATATGTTCCTGATAGACCGAGTACACAGGGTGCCCAAACCACGCAATCTGCCTGACACTATCCCTCGAGACGTCCTACTGAGGGCACACTACTACCACATAAAAGAGGCAGTATTGCGCGCTAGCAGAAACCGCACAGAACCGCATGAGACCTATGCAACGATCAAGATCTTAGCAGACCTGTCCGCGGCGACTCTCAAGCGCAGGAGAGATTTCCAACCGGTGGCAGAAGAATTGCGTCGCGCTGGAATAAGATACCGCTGGGGATACCCCACTAAACTACTAATTACTAAAACCGGCGAGCTCAACATGGCTTCCACGCCGGACGAAGGCACCCGACTATTGAGAGTCTGGGGGCTCCTCACAAACCCCCCCACGACTCAAGCAAGTCCAACAAGACATCTGACACCAGAATGGCGCCAAGCCTCAACACGGAACAAGTCGCCATGATACCTAGGCCGTCCAGGTCATAACCAAGGACACGTGAGATATTAATATGTACCGCTAATTTCTATCACAAGTTTAGTTTAAGTTTTCGTGAGGTTAACTGCTTTGATTAGCATTTTATTTACCACATAACTAAATCACACTCTGCATGGTTTGTTGGATGCGGGCGGGTGTAGCGCCCCCATGGGTGACAATCAGGGTAAACTTCGGGCAATAAGGAGGGGCGGCATGGCACAGGTAAAGAAGGGACCGGTTATCAGAGGTGATCCTGATATCTAAGTGTTAACTGCAATGCTGACGCTATGCATACACAATAATGGTATTTCAAGAACGCACAAAGGTGCACAATGATTATGTAAGTTATCAGGACAATGTATATAGAAAGATAATTGTAAACCATACCACATAAGCAACTACTGCTTTAACTAGTGCGTCAAGCCAACTGCAACCGTGCCACCCCAACTCACAACACAGCTTTGTACAATACACCCACAAGCTATGCTGTGAGAACCGCATCCAATCACAAAGATCGACATGACAAGTGGGATACCCACGATAGGCGTCAAAGCGGTAAACTGTTCATTGCCCTATTAAACCCTCACTTGGGTCAGGCTTGACTTTTTCACCTATGCACACCTGCCAGCACTAAGACACCATGCACACTACCTAGGTCGCTTTTGAATTAAGGCTCTGAGGAGAGACAGCAACTATGTACTCAAGAGAGCCCAACGGCCACAATACTAGAGACGCTGTTTCAGCGTCCCTCCCCCATGGCACAACGCCACAGTGCCAAGACCCACGTTTGGGTCAAATTGTATATACTTTGGTTTCTATTACCCCTTCCCACTGCCATTCCTGAACCTCTCACTCCCGGGCACAACAATGTAGTCGCACAGGCGCCGTCTATGAGGCACACCATACGAACCCCGTCCAATCTACAATTCCATATAGGCATTGCAGAACCGCAAACGAGCACTACTTATCACCCACCCATCACATGAAAATATACTCACACTGTGGAGTGTTGATCATTATTTAATGTGTAGTTTGCAATATATATATGTATTATATGGTATGGTGCATATATATATCTAATATGAATGTACATTTAGCTGTATAACATAGGTGTATGAAATATTGCAGGCCTTTTTGCTTAGATTTGAAAAAGTTAAATTTTCAATGACATTTCCACAAGGTTAACAGCTAAAAGGTTGAAGTTAAATTAGAACAAACACATGTGTTGTCAGTCAAATGTATACAAAACACTTCACTTAATTTTGAAGCTAACTATAGGCAGAGCCATCTAGGGTATATCCCAAACTTAGATATTCAATACATTACATCTTGCAACAAGTTAGAATACCTTTTTGGGAGTATTACACAGGTGGGGGCTGCTTTATGGAGGACAAAATGGCTATTTAACTGAAGGAGAAAGAGTGTGACGTTGTCATTCATTCACCATTCATTCATTCATCCATCTACTCTTACTCTGCCTGCTGTCACCACACATCTGAAAGGTATACAGGGACATATGCTGTAGCCACTAATACATTTGGTAAGATTAATTATTTACTGACTATTTTGCATTCTGTAACATTCATTCAATACACTTTTATCTTATATTTATTTGAGTCATTGTTTCATTTATTACAATATTATTACAGTGCCTTTTGGGTCTTCAGACACTGGATTATTTTAGTGATAGTCAAGTTATCATCTAGAATGGTTAAGGAAAACAGTATTTATAAGTAATTTGGGAACGGAAAGGTCTGCTCCGTATACAGCTATAGATTGCATAAAGACACACTAAGCTTAGAATGACCCGGAGTGACCTTTTGTCGGTAAAGGTCCACATCATACCTGAAGCGAGCCATAACTATCAATATTGAAGGATCACCGAAAACCGACATTCTGGGGGCCTCGTCCTTGGGTGGTTTAGTCGTGTCTTTTGCAGTGGAGAACACGGTGTACTCAGTTGTTGGAAGGATCCTCGTTTTGTAAGTATGTCTTTCTTTAAGTTTCCAAATAGGATAGGTAATCTTGAATCTAGATCATGTGACCCTATTGATTTAAATACTGAACAGAGATCCGTTAATTCCCCTGTTTTGTTTTCTTTCCCTTCTGTGTTTCAAGAATATATAAAATGTTGGATAAAAAAATATGGAGGTCCATTTAAGTTGGGCGAAAATATAAGTGATGCACTGTTTCTAGAGGACATTTTTCAAGTATTACCCTCAATAATGCAGCTTAAAGATGACAAAGTAAAAAAGGGTAGAAGTTTGCAAGCTTTACTAGATATGCTAATGATGTCCCTCCAAATGATTGAACAGTTGCAAGTTAGTTTTAATCTGCAAGCTTCTCTTATTGATACGCTGCATGTACAATTAGAAGATTACCGCACCCAGGCACAAAATGCAGCTCACGCTGCTGGATTCTTACAAGATAAAGTTCATAATTTAGAATCCAAAAATATTATCCTTGATCAAGCTGTAGACACCTTACAATGCCTGCGTACTAAGCACTCTCCTTCTTTAAAACTAGGAGGTAAGGCTCGGGGAAGTGCTATATTTAAAAAATCCCCTGTTGCTCATGAAAACAAATGGTATCAGATTGCCACCTTGTCAGTCGATCTTCCTTCTGCTTTAATTAATGAAGACGACGTTGCTATGTGGATGGAGCATAAAAATGAAAATATTGAGTTTCCTTCACAAACAATTTCTGTCCCCTCTGCTCCTCCCACGTATACACATTTGTATCCAGAATTGCCAATTGAATTTTCTAAAACTAATCTTGTTCCTTGTAATCCTATAACACGTGGTCCTCAATTAGAGGCTAACGAAGTGTTATCAGATGACAAATTGAAGGAAATTTCTGCACATCATGCTAGAATAGAAAAAGAATATAATGATATGGAAATGACTTTACATAATGTAAAACAATCATTTTCACAAGAACACCAGCAGAGACGAGACTTAGAAGCAGAGTTGTCTGAAGCTGCACGACTATTAACTGAGACTAAAACTGACCTTGAACGTTTTAGGCTTGACAATGACGAGTTACAACGGGTAAATGACAAACTTAAGGCTACTACTAAAAAACAAGAAAAGACTACTAGCATATTGCATGATACTACACAAGACCTTAAGACTGCTAACAAACAACTGCAAAGTGACCTTAAAGAGGCTAAAACTAAACGACATGTTGTTATTTCTGATCCTGTTAATGTACACATGACAGCACCTTCTTCTGTGAAAGCGACAGAAGCCAGGGCTGTCTTATCTGAAATAGGACAAGCTCCTGTAAATAAGGGTACTATTGAGGATTTCAATAGATTCACACATTGGATCGGAAAACTCCTTCGCTGGGGTTCTTCGGATTCACAACTAATAGAGATTTTTCTGAAAGGTCTGGGATCCTGTTCAGCTGTCATAGAAGGTTTTGCACAAACTTTTTCTCAGCTGTTAGAACGGTGTTGCCATAAACTATTTCATTTGTCTAGTCCGTTCCAGATTAACAAAGCTTTTATCTCACTTCCTAATGAGTCTATCACAGAAACTGCTAACAGAGTAATTGTTTTCCTTGCTGCTCTTACTAATGGGGCTACTTCTTCAGAAAAACGTTCTGAAATACAAGCTGACCTTAAATTGGATCCAGCAGTGCGGGAGTTAATTTTCACTCTTGTACCAAGTAACATTTCTCATGTTATGACCATCTGTTACGGTGACCTGAGGAATGTTGACTTTAATTCATGGCTTGACCGTTTGCAAGTTGAAATGGATAGATATTCTAAACCCTCTCCGATTTCTGAAATAACATATCAGGCTCAAAGATCTTGGAGAGATGGACAGCAATTAAATAATGCCTCTAATACTTGGCAGACAGAAGGTCCACAGTACCGTGGACGGGGTGGTTTTAGAGGTAGATTTAATACTACAAGACGTGGCATAGGAAAAGATGGTGAGTGGATTCCCTTGAGGGATATTATTGCATCTCAAAAAGCGTTACAACATTCTGTTGAGTTACTTAGAAAACAAGTAGAGCAAGCTAATTTAATGCCTGTTGCAACTCTAACAACTTCCCTTCCACCCCTCTCCTCCTGCTAGGGATGTGTTTTCTCCTCTCCTCTTTGTCTCGACTGGCCTCTGGATCTAGATAAATGGGGACGACCAATGTGTACTATGTTGGTAGATGGGGAGAAAATTAACACTCTAATCGATACAGGGGCAGCTGCTACACTAATATCTGGTACACCAAAAACTAGCAAATTTACTACTGCTTGCATTGTGGGGGTTACTGGCATGCCAAAAACAGTGTATGTTGAACCTAGGACGTTGAAGATTGGCTCTAAGACTATACGTTCTGATGTGTTTTTGGAAAAAGATGCGTTATCTCTGTTGGGAGCTCTGGATATTGTAAAGTTTGGGTTTATCATTGATTTAATGAATCACATGCTTTGGAATATTGAGGGGAGTACTAGCCCTTCTGAGCATACTCGGATCGGTTTAGGCTCCAATTTGCCTCCTGTGCATGTTGTCTATCCACATGAGGATGTTGGGGCCGTAAAGGGTATTAAAATCAAACACCCTCCTGCTCCTCCTGTGGATACAGAATCTTGGTGGCATGAATATGCCGATGTATGGGCCAAAGATAGTCTAGATTGTGGTAAATCACAATTAATGGTTTCTTTGGATGGTACACACCACCCATATGTTAAACAGTATCCAATTCCACGTGAGGCAGAAAAGGATTTAGAAGTTATCATTGACCAATTGTTACAGCGTGGGTTAATTCGACCATGCCAAACTGCAGGCTCGAGTCCTGTGTGGCCTATTCGTAAAAAAGACAACACTTGGCGTTTAACCATTGATTACAGACGACTAAATGAGACAGTTTTTAGAACAGCACCTGTTGTGGCCTCTTACCCTGAACTGATTGCTAAATTAACTCCTGAAATGCAGTATTATACCGTGTTAGATCTTGCAAATGGGTTTTATAGTGTACAAGTCACTCCTGAAACTCAGTATCGTACTGCATTTGCTTTTCAGTCTAAACAGTATTGCTGGACAGTTCTTCCTCAAGGTTACTGTGATAGCCCTGCAATTTTTCACAGCATGTTAGCTCAAGCTCTAAAGTCTCATAATTTGCATAACAAAATTGTTCAGTATGTTGATGACTTGTTAATAGCTAATGATTCCAGAGAGAGTAACATTAAACTGTTAAAAAAGGTTTTGGAATGCCTTAAAAAGCATGGCTTGAAACTTAACCCTGACAAGTGTCAGTTGGTCCAACAGAAGGTTAATTACCTCGGATTGGAACTTGGTCCAACAGGCAGAAGTATTCTTGAAGATAGGGTTAAACATATTCTTTCCCTACCAAGACCTGTAGATGTGAAATCTTTACAGCAGTTTCTTGGGCTTACAGGATTTTGCAGAGAATTTGTTGCTAATTATGCTTTGCTTGCAGAACCATTATCTGACCTACTGAAACAAAACAAATTTGAATGGAATGATTCTCATACACAGACATTTTCCTCCCTCAAATCTGCATTAGCTAGTGCACCCGTTTTGGGCACTCCAGCATCAGACAAACCATTTTATTTATACTCTAGTGTGTCTGATACAACACTTGGTGCAGTAGTGGCCCAATACCATGGTGATATACTAGCCCCTATTGCATACTTAAGTCGCAAAATGACATCACCTGAATTGAAATTTGGTCCTTGTGAAAAAATTGCCCTAGCTACATACTGGACCATACAAAGACTGAGATATCTTCTCAGCGGTCAGCACATTGTGATTCGTTCACATCATAATCCCCTGCTTTTGCTGAAAAAACATAATTTGGCTTTAAGTGACATTCGTAATGAACGTGTGGTGAGATGGATGACTACGCTGCTCACTGAACACATTACAGTGGAACCGTTAAAGGAACCCTCTGTACATGTGTTGGGTGTTCTTATTCAAGGTCAGGATCATGTATGTCATCCTATGATTGCTCCTAAAGCACATTCTGTTTTCAAAGAGGGCAGCCCTGCTGATGTGGGAAATAACCCTGTTTGGTACATTGATGCTAGTTCATCAGTCATCGATGGTACGCGCATGACAGGTTTTGCAGGTGTACTTCTTGAAGGTAGAACTATTCTTGATTTGTTTCAGTATGCTTGTAAAAATGCAGGAGCACAGTTTGCTGAATTGGCTGCACTACTAACTTTGATCCGGGACAAAATTGGGAAAGGTGGTACACACTTTGTAGTCACTGACTCTATGTATGTTTTCAGAGGAGCTTTGATTCTTCTTACGTTTTGGGTCAACAATAAATGGCAGTCCACTGATGGCAGTATAGTACAGCACAAAGGCTTATGGGAACGCATACAGGATTTGTCAAAAGATCATGTAGGCTTTATCAAACTCGTCAAGGTTAAAGCACACAGATCTAAGGGACCTTTGGCATATGGTAATAGTCTTGCTGATAAATTCGCAAAAGAGGCTGCATGTCTTCCTGATATTCCACTATGGGAAGAGGAAGATGTATTGTATCATACACCACTTGCACCAGTGCAGTTGTCTGCCCCTGACGATGATGACACACGATGGTCTGTACTTCGAGAACATCAGGAGTACGATTTGGTACTCGCTCCTCTTTTTGATGACCTGGCACCTAAGTTAGGTAAAGAAACACTGAAAATTTTGCATGACATTTTAGTCAAAGACACTGAACATGGTCCTGTCTGGGTTATTCCCTCTCATTTGGTAAAATGTTTGCTGGCTTGGGTACATGGTTCCATTGCAGGGGGACATCCCAAATTACAAGAATGTATGGATAGGATGTCTAAACTGGGATGGTGGCCTACTATGAGAAGAGATATTCAAGATCACATTGATAGATGTATTGTTTGTGCACACCAAGATCCAGCAAGACAACTAACACGTGGAGCACTAATGCGACATGCTCCTACTGGACCTTGGGACAGACTACAGGTTGACTATGTAGGTACACTGCCATTGACAGCCCGTAAAAATCGCTATATATTGGTAGTCGTTGACTCTTTTAGTCGATGGATTGAAGCTTTTGCTACCCCTAACAAAACAGCTGGCACAACTGCCAAAATCCTAGTGCAAAATGTTTTCTGTCACTTTGGGATTCCAAAACAAATGGATTCAGATAATGGTGGTGAATTTGTCAATACCATCCTGAAAGAGATCACAAGTTGGTTAGATCTCCCTTGGGATTTCCATATTGCTTATCACCCTCAAAGCAGAGGCATGGTTGAAAGGATGAATGGCCAGATAAAAAAGGAACTAAGCAAAATCTGTAATGCCAATGGTAAAAATTGGGATATTTTACTGCCTTTTGTCCTTGCTCGGATGAGATCTAGAGTTAACAGGCATATTCAGATGTCTCCTTATGAAGTACTTTTTGGTCGCAGTATGCCTTCATGGGAACGCCTTTTGCTTCCTATGGATATATCTACCTCTGTAGCATTATGCAATGAAGAATGGGCCAAAGAACATTCTCTATGGCTCACCACTGTACAAGGACAGGCGCTGCACACAGATGCGGTGTCCGCCTTAAAAAGTAAAAGTGATTTTGATAAAAAATCTGACCTCACTGAATACCAAGTGGGAGATTCTGTGTGCATGCTTAAACAAGGACAGAAAAACCCTAGGAAATTTCCTAAAGATTGCTGGGAAGGTCCATATCTTATTGTGGACAAAGTGGGACCCTCAGTTTATCTTATTCAAAAATCAGATGGTTTAAATGTCTACAAGCATGCAATGCAGCTTAAATTGTTTAAGGGCTCTTAAAGCCCTCTGTGTGTGTTATTCTATATTTACTTTGTTTTTCAGAAAGTGTACAAAGAGACTGAGACTCTAGAACGGCTGTTCCAGACTCTACTTTTCACTATGAATGATCGGCGCCTTTACATCTAATCTTCATTTGAAAGAAAAAAAAAAGAGGTCCTACCGGATGTACAAAACTAGCTTTGGCTAGACTACTTTCTGCACGTATTGCATGTTTTCTTAGTGTGATGCTTACACTATGTATGTTATTTACTAATAATAGATAGTAACGTCTTGTAACAATCTCTTTATCCACATTTTTACATGTTATATTTGAAGTTTGGTGCCATTAATTTACAGTTTGATCATAACTAATTATTTTGTTGGTTTTCATAATCTACAAATTAGACTATGGCATCTTGGACATGTTTGGTGGGATGCGTTACAGTGATTTGTTTGCTCTATACCTTTACTAACATTTGGCATCCAGATAATCATAATCTGCAGAAGCGTCTTGTCACTTCTTACGAAGTGCTTGCTCCTTTTAAACCTATATATTTAGTCTCACACCCTACTACCAGCATTGACCTTATCTTTTCTTTATTGTCTAACTTTCAGCGTAATAGTGTTAGATCTAACCGTCCCATATATCATATTTCTCATAGTTCTGCATCCCCACAATTTGTTGCACTTTTTATTGCTAGTGTTCCAAAATTTGACTATGCTCAGCTATGGCTTATTAATAAAACCCATCTTCTGATTCCAGAATATGGTGCACTTCCGCATCTTGATAAGAATATTTGTTTGATATGCAGTATTGATTTGCAATCCGCTACTTCTGGCATTTTTCATAATTCTAACAGTCGCCCTATGGCTAACATGGATAATCTTAATACCTGTGGAAGTCTAGAAGTCCAGGACTCTAATTCTGTTGCGATGCCTGCAACTATTTTGGTTAATACTTCCAACCCCTCTGATTCCGTAGGTGAATGGCAATGTACAGACAATGGTATTCCACAGTTTATAGTTAGAATTGATGAAGTAGCACAGCCTTCTACTCCTATAGCTTCTGTATCTCCTTCTACGCCTATACCAGAATCTACCACACCTCCATTTCAGGAAGGTGACCCTATTCAAGTTCGTTTGGACTCTGCTACACAAGTAGCATATGATGTTTCATATCGTTTGGTTACCTGGCACTTACAATTAAATAAATGGTTGGTTTCCACACAATATTCCAATTGTACGCTATTCGTATCAGTACAGGAAAGAGCTTTTCAGTGGTGGTTTTTTGAAAGCATGTTGTATAATGTATCACTTCGATCACACCATCACCCTAGACGAGATATTTTAGCTACTGGGTTAGGTACATATGGTAGTGTCGTGGGATCAGCTGCACAAATTAATTCGGAAATTCTAAGATATAAACTTGCTTCTTTAGCCTCTCATACTTCTACGGGTCTGGATACCCAATATGGTATTAATACTAATATTGTTAAGCTTCAGCAGCATCAAACTCATGTTATGGTAGATACAACTGAGATTATTTCTGATAAGTTTCACACTCTGGTCGACTCAGTTTACAATTTTACTCGTGATACTGCATGGGCAATGCTATGTTCACAGGTTCAGGCTGATCTGTCTACCGATCTTAAACTTCAGTTGCAAAGTTTATGGTCAGGTAGATGGCCTGCTTCGTTGAGTCGTGCTGCTTCAAAATCTGTGACTGACTTTGCGATGACTCATCTTTTGTGGTGGGAAGTTCTTCTATCTGACTGCTCACTTGAAAAATGTGCCATTCATACATTAATACCATGGGCAGGCAAAGATGCTATTATTTATCGTTTAGCTACAATTGGCCTACCGACTAATGGGTCATTATTATTGCCTGAACTTTCACATCAATGGGTAGCCCAGGGTACGGATAGTTCTAACTGGACCCTTGTAGACATTTCTTTGTGTCACTCTAATGCTAATTCTTATATATGTTCTCCATCCCAATATAAAACTACTACTGAAACATGTTGGGTTAATCAGGATGAATGTAGTTTTCATGGTCAATTTAATGTTACAAATCCTGTCTACTACTTGGGGTTAGATCGTGTTTGTTTTCACTTATTTCAGCCTGATCAAATTATTTTTAAAACACTGGATAAATCTCTTCTCAGCACTCACTTATTGCCTGGCACTTGGTGTAATTCCATTCCTGTGTCTTACATTGCTTCTTCAGTATGGAACTTCACTATGCCTCAACTTACTAACATAAGTTTGGATTTATCATGGGAACGTATTGTTGATTTTTCCATGTCAGATTTGCCCCTAGGTATGGGTTCTGAGATGAAAAAATGGTTAACTGACTCAACATCAATTACGACATTGCTTAATTCATTAAAGAGTGTTTTGCACCAAGCTCAAATTACTGTCACACATAAACAAGGGATTCTTAAACAAGTTTCTGTTGCTGTTAAGCAAGATGGCCAGACCTCATGGTGGGAATCTGTTTTGGGATACAGTAATACTGCTACACATTTTTTTAATGTAATGTTGCATCCAGTTGTAGTTATTTCTCTCTTACAATTGATTTTATTTTTATTCATCTGTATTAGTGGTTGTTATTTCAAAAGTTTACATCGTAATCTGTGTAGAAAGGTGACTGTGTTGGAAGACTTAGAGTCTAGGCATAAACGCCTTCTCCCATTATATACATTAAATGGTTATTCTGTATCTTTAGATCCCTCTCAGCTTCCAACTCCTTATTAATTATGGATTTTATTCTGTGTCCATGTTCTTACATTATTTTTGTTTTCTTTTAGATCTCCATTTTGCTTTTCTTCTATGTCATAACTGGTTCCTTACTTTTATTTTTAAACAGCACTTGGGCGTTTCTGTCTCTTTAAGTTAAATACTAAGTGGTACATTCTGATGACAGGTTTACCAGCTACACTCTATTACCAGTGACTTTCTCTGTCAACGTATATCCAGCTGCTTTTATTACGCTTAGTTGTGAAGAATTCCTATATCTACAAGAGTTCCTACTGACTGCTATGCTGTCTATGGGTACAATCGGTACTAGGATGAAGACTATGCATATTATTTCTACTGACTATTTTCTAAACTTTGCATATACCTAAGGAATTGAGGAGCTAACATGGTTATCCTACTTCTCAATCTTCCTGTTTGGTTGCTGTGACCGTTCTATTGTCACTGTCTTGTGGTGTTTCTCATGCTGCAAATTTCTATTTCATTCTGCGGCCTGGACTCTAATTCTGAACTCTCCATGAACTATGTTTCTTGCTATGTCGCTGATATTCCTTCTATTTGAATTCCGAATTTGATTCTGGTTTTTGACTTCTTCAATCAAGATATCTAAAGAACTTTGATGTAGCTTTAACACAGTTTACTACGTCACTCTGTGTTATGTTTCTTATTCCTGTGTTTCTGCTGGTACCACTTGTATTTGATTTTTTGCTTTCATTATTGCTGTATTCAATTTTTTTCTCCCTCTCTCTTTCTCTTCTCTTCTCTTTAGCATAAGTGTTGTTTTGTTTTTGATTTTTCTCTGTTTTTCTCTTGTTTTTTCTTTTTGGTTTTGTCATAGAAGAAAAACAAGTGGGGGAGTGTGGAGTGTTGATCATTATTTAATGTGTAGTTTGCAATATATATATGTATTATATGGTATGGTGCATATATATATCTAATATGAATGTACATTTAGCTGTATAACATAGGTGTATGAAATATTGCAGGCCTTTTTGCTTAGATTTGAAAAAGTTAAATTTTCAATGACATTTCCACAAGGTTAACAGCTAAAAGGTTGAAGTTAAATTAGAACAAACACATGTGTTGTCAGTCAAATGTATACAAAACACTTCACTTAATTTTGAAGCTAACTATAGGCAGAGCCATCTAGGGTATATCCCAAACTTAGATATTCAATACATTACATCTTGCAACAAGTTAGAATACCTTTTTGGGAGTATTACACAGGTGGGGGCTGCTTTATGGAGGACAAAATGGCTATTTAACTGAAGGAGAAAGAGTGTGACGTTGTCATTCATTCACCATTCATTCATTCATCCATCTACTCTTACTCTGCCTGCTGTCACCACACATCTGAAAGGTATACAGGGACATATGCTGTAGCCACTAATACATTTGGTAAGATTAATTATTTACTGACTATTTTGCATTCTGTAACATTCATTCAATACACTTTTATCTTATATTTATTTGAGTCATTGTTTCATTTATTACAATATTATTACAGTGCCTTTTGGGTCTTCAGACACTGGATTATTTTAGTGATAGTCAAGTTATCATCTAGAATGGTTAAGGAAAACAGTATTTATAAGTAATTTGGGAACGGAAGGGTCTGCTCCGTATACAGCTATAGATTGCATAAAGACACACTAAGCTTAGAATGACCCGGAGTGACCTTTTGTCGGTAAAGGTCCACATCATACCTGAAGCGAGCCATAACTATCAATATTGAAGGATCACCGAAAACCGACACACACAACTGCAGGGGACTGAACACCCCACATAAAAGGCGCATGATGCTGGAGGAAGCCAAGCAGACTCAGGCGGACATTATCTGTCTACAAGAGACCCATTTTGTTACCTCCAGGGTGCCTAACTTTGGCGCACAACATTACCCTCACATTACCCTCACCAATACCCTCCAAATCGAGAGGGGCCTCAATTCTTCTCCACTCCTCCTTAACAGTTGAAGCCCTAAACCTAATCAAGGACAAACAAGGTAGATTTGTAATGCTACATTGCCTCCTAAATAACCTGCCATATATCATAGTCAGTTTCTGTGCTCCTAATGTACACTGCACTCCCAACTAACCAGACTGCCTCAGCTATATTATGTGGAGATCTAAACCACCCCCTTGACCCACACATGGACACTACACTAAAAACCACGACACCGAGACACAAAGCACTCAAAGCACAAAGCAAAGCAATCAATAAACTGCTAGGGGAATATGGCCTATACGACCCTTGGAGAGCATTCCATCCTAATGAGAAATCGTTCTCGTTCTATTCAGCAGTGCACAAATCATATTCAAGGATAGATTTCATTTTCATAACAGGCACATTACTCCCTAGAGTAATAAACAGTGAAATCGGACCATGCTCCGACCATAGTAGGGCTGACTGAGGAATACCAACACAGAGGAAGGCCACCGTGGCGGCAAAATGATTCACTTTTACGTGACCAGACATTCTCTACAACATTGACAGAAGCCCTGACATCGTATTTCCAAACTAACGATACGCCGGATGTCCACCCAACCACTGTATGGCAAGCCCATAAGGCGGTCATCAGAGGACTCATCATCAGCAGAGCCTCCTACTTAAAAATGAAGGCACAACAAGAACACTTACACCTGCTGCGTACCTTAAGAGACGCAACAGCGGCAAACATAGCAAACCCCTCACCACAACTAGCACAGACAATTCAAGACACCACAACAAGTATCAACAACATGGCAATTTCTAAAACAGCACACATTTTACATAAGCTGAAACAAAAAACCTACTCACAAGATAATAAAGCAGGAAGGAATCTAGCGACTTTATTACGTCAAAAACAATCCAACGCAAAAATCCCATATCTGCTCACATCCCAAGGCTCTAAAATCCATAACCCACAGGATATTAACGATACCATGGCAGACTATTACCACACACTATACAACCTCAAAGATGACCCCACCTTGCACCAACCCACGCCTCAGGAAATTCAAAATTTCCTTCGAACGTTCTCGCTGCCAACATTGACGGAACAACAGAAAACTATATTGCAAAACCCAGTCACACAAGAAGAAATACAACAAGCTATACACTCACTCCCCCATGGCAAATCACCGGGACCCGACGGACTCACAAACTCCTATTACAAGACAATGACCACAATCCTGACTCCATATTTGGAAAAAGCCTTTAACCATATTCTCACGACGGGCCAAGTGCCCCAAGACATGCTCATGGCACATGTGGCCACGCTGCCAAAACCAGGCAAACCACCTAATAAATGCCAAAATCTACGACCAATTTCCCTCCTTAACACGGACATTAAATTACTGGCTAAGATTTTCTCTAACAGACTGACGAACATTATTCCGACCCTAATACATGAGGACCAGGTGGGATTTGTCAGTGGTAGGCAAGGAGCGGACGGAACCCGAAAGATCTTGGACCTACTACAGGGGGGGCGCGGAGGGGGGCTCAGTGCGTTATGCTGTCACTTGATGCTGAAAAAGCCTTCGACAGATTGCACTGGCCCTTCCTCCAAGCTGTTCTGCTCAAATATGGCTTCCCAGATACTCTCCTTAGGTTAGTAGGAGCGTTATACTCCAGACCGACAGCGAAAGTCACCAATGGGGGTTTTAGCTCTAAACAATTCCACATAACCAATGGGTCACGACAGGGCTGCCCACTATCGCCTCTCCTTTATATTCTTTCGCTAGAACCTCTCACGCAACTCATTAGAGACAACCCAAACATACACGGTATCACAAGACAAGGCAAGGAACATAAACTCACACTTTTCGCAGACGACATCCTCTTAACGCTCGAGCAACCACACATATCCCTACCTAACTTCCACGATACACTTGCCCAATATAGCAAATGTTCCTATTATAAACTTAATGTAAATAAAACCCAAGCAATGGGTATAAATATCCCGGTAGAGGTCTTGGATAGGCTGCGTACCTCTTTCAAATACGATTGGCGAAACGACCATCTAAAGTTCTTAGGAATCAACCTCACCCCAAATCTAGCAAATCTTTTTAAAACAAATTATCAAAAAACACTGACTGAAATAAAAAATTTACTACTAGGATGGAAGAGTAAATTCATATCTTGGTCAGGGAGAATTGCCGCTGTCAAAATGATTATTGTACCTAAATTGCAATACTTGTTTAGAACATTACCCATAAAGATACCTCCCACATTTCTACAAGATGCTCAACAAACACTACTAAATTTTATATGGGACAAACAAAAAGCACGAGTAGCGAAAAGCACGCTATACATGCCACGCAAGAAAGGGGGAATGGAAGTACCCAACCTAGACAGCTACTACAGAGCAGCCATCTTAGGCCCCCTACTAGCAGCTTGCCACCGAGACCACCCAACCCAATGGATGGAACTGGAGGCGCAACATGCTAATAACATACCCATCAATATACTGGCATGGCTTCCCCAACACAGCAGGCCTACTACGACAGAATTGCTCCCAACCACAGCCCTCACTCTGACCATGTGGGACAAGTACTGCCGCACATTGGGCTGGTCAGGCAAAATATCGCCCGCCATGCCCATAAAAACATTACACTATATGATACCTAATTTTAATAACGCTATATGGCATCAACATGGAGTAACACATTTACACCAGCTGCTTCGGGAACACACGCTCAGAAGTCTCACCCCGATGGCATCTTTCCCCTACATGCAGTTGCACTCATGGCTTCGCAAGCAAACTTTGACAGGGACTGATAATGTACAGGGGCCACAGCTGACGGTGGTAGAGAAAATATGCTCACGTCTCTCAACCCCCAAAAGACTTATCTCTGAACTATACCAAACTATGCATCCCCCAAAAGACCACAAAAACCTTTCATTCATTGCCGCATGGGAGAGGGAATTCATGTATGCTCTCGGTGAGAAACAATGGAATGAGATTCTCCTTGCACACAACTCACTCTCCAAATGTGCCTCCCATATGGAACTATCCCGGAAAATTTTATACCGGTAGTACCTAGTACCTACACGCCTAAAAGCAACCTATCCACAAGCCTCCGATATCTGTTGGAGATGCCAACAACACAAGGGCACAATGCTCCACATTTGGTGGGAATGCCCCTCCTTAACACCCTATTGGGATACCATAACCACCATTATACAAGACAGCACAAAAATGCTACTTCCCCGCAAACCAGAAACATACCTCCTCCAACTTTTCCCAAAGGGGATGCGGGGCAGGCATATACTTAATCTATCACATACTTATAGCCGCGCTAACTGTCATTAGTAGACATTGGAAATCTGCTATCCCACCCAAAATATCAGAATGCATACAAACGATAGAAACAACTAAGCTCTACGAGCTGGCAGCTAAACGCTCAAACCACTCTAAAAAAGTTTGGTCACAAGCCTGGGAAACCTGGCAACTGTACATGGAGCGTAATAATATACCCTCCAATTGAGATGACGATGGCAGGGGTCTATGAACCAACAGCTGTGCCCCTTCAACAATGCAACGGTAACAAAGGGTGAAAATGTAAATAATTGTGGAAACTGCAAATACAATGGTAATGCCACAACTCAAACAAAACGCACGTAGGATAGATAGTCCTGCAGAAGCGACCACACATAGCCGACTGCCTGGGAGAGCCCTACCCCCTACCCCCTCCATTTCCCCCCCCTTTTCATTCCTCCCCCCCTCTTCCCGTCACCTACTCTGATCCTCCTCCACGGTTTACCCCCATCCCCAGTGGTATATGGAACACTAAGGCTCTACACCCTGCACCAAACACAAACCCAGGCGATTGCAAACCCGGAAGGGGCTAACATGAGCCCCCCTCTTATGGCATGGGGTAGACACTAATTGGCAGATCCACCCAGTGTAACACAATGTTTGCATGTAAATATGCTGTATATGATAAATGTGTAAACTGTTCTCAGGTCAATGTGTATGAGATACTTCACCTTACCACTGCTTCCCCATCCCTATTCTCTTCTGTATCCTTATAAAACTTCAATATAAATTGTCAAAGATAAAAAAATATAACTTCTATATAACTATAACTTCTAGAACGCATGTAAATACTTTATTTGTATACCTTAGCCAGTCTAGTTATTAGCTAACATTTTTTCTTTAACGTTCAGTCCAGTAACTTTGGATTACTGGTTAGCACTACATTGGGTGGATTGTTTATCTTAACTTCCTTATTCATATAATTCATATTTAAATACCGGGGGGAGTTCGGGCGGCAATTTTCAGCCCCTGACGAAGGAGTCTTGTACTCCGAAACGCACGTCGTGTTTTCCTTTTGGATTTCCCTCCACTCACTCGAGCACTTCACTATGCACGAGGGAATCCTTCATACACCTTTACTTTTGTTTTTTTCATTAGTTTAAATGTTAATTCTTTATGGAGCTTTACTAGTGTAGTGGCAATAGTGTTAGGGGACAGCGCGTAGCTAGCTTACTTACTATAGAACACCCATGAAGGTGTTAAGAGGAGATCACAGGAGATTAGAATAGTGGCGTTTTTTAGGGGATTTTCCTCAATCATATTACTCTAACCACTGGTTATATTGATATCTAATTACTCATATTACTTCCAACATATTTGTAAGCTACTATAAGCTACTCAGTAACGGATATCTGGTTTTCATCCTTATTCAATGCTATACTGTCTCCTCTATTGCCCTACCCTATTTATCTATAATAAGATTTTAAGGCACTACATTGATTTTGTTTCCTCTGTGGATCACCCTATGTGATATATCTCATTGTCTTAGCACTTAGCATGCCTCAATTGAGATCTGGACACTGAGGTCGATCCACATAGGATTTTAGGGTTATAAGCATTTCAGAGACACTGATACATTGTATCCTCTCTACAGTACAGTTAATAAAGTTGCAGTGTATCACTGTTTATGCTAGGATACATGTTTATTCAGTGTCTAAAATATCAATATATGCTTTCCTGTAGTTATCACCCTTTTTTTATACTTTTGATAAGTCTATAGGTATATCCTCGTATTAGTTGGCGTTCTCTTTACTATCACTACCAGATTCATTGGGAGCCCACCTTCTTTAAAGGGGAGTTATCCAATTATTGTATCTTTGCATTTTTTAATCTTTCATTAAGTTAATTGGTTATTTGGTTATTTAAACACTGCTGTTATGCTGGATCCCTTATGCATGATTAAGGCTCTTAGGAGCCGAAACGTCGCACTTATTTTGGTGGTGATGAACCCACGAATAAATTCACCTTCTATATCCTGAGTGCTGCCTGTGTTTCTCTTCTTTGGTTGGCGTCAGTTCGTCTGCCCTCGCGGAATGCATGCGGAATGCCCATTATTATTATTATGATTATTATTATGATATTTATAGAGCGCCGTCAAATTCCGCAGCGCTTTACAATGGGTGGACGAACAGACATGTAGTTGTAACCAGAAAAGTTGGACACACAGGAACAGAGGGGTTGAGGGCCCTGCTCAATGAGCTTACATGCTAGAGGGAGTGGGGTAAAATGACACAAAAAGGTAAGGATAGTATTAGACTAATGACAGTTGCAGAAGAGGAATCAGTCAGGAGCTATTAACAGTTTAATGGGTACGCTTTTATGAAGAAGTGGGTTTTTAACGATTTTTTGAAGGAGTGGAGACTGGGTGAGCATCTAACGGAGGAGGGAAGCGAGTTCCATAGGAATGGTGCAGCCCTCGAGAAATCTTGAAGGCGAGCTTCAAAGGTGGGAGTACGTCCGTAAGTCTTCAGCAGATCGTAAGGGCCTAGACGGGACATACTTGTGTATAAGGGAGGATAGATAGGTGGGAGGAGCATTATGTAGAGATTTGAAAGTAAGAACCAGAATTTTAAATTGAGCTCTATATTTTATAGGAAGCCAATGTAGGGATTGACAGAAGGGTGAGGCATGGGAGGTGCGTGCGGACAGGAAGATGAGCTTCGCCGCCGCATTTATTATGGACTGTAACGGCGCTAGTTGGGAGCACGTAAGACCACTGAGAAGCGGATTACAGTAGTCAAGGCGAGCAAGGACAGTGGAATGGACCAACACCTTAGTCGCATCAGGCGTTAAGTAGGGGCGGATGCGCGCAATGTTTTTTAGATGGAAATGACAGGATTTGGCGATAGATTAAACATGAGGCTTGAAGGAGAGTTCGGAGTCAAAGAGAACACCTAGGCAGCGAGCCTGCGTGGTGGAGCTGATGGTAGCACCGTTGACTTGGAGGGAGACAGACACAGGAGTAACAACACTTGAGGGAGGAAAGACCAGAATTTCAGTTTTGGTCAAGTTTAGTTTAAGGAAGTGGGCAGCCATCCAGTTAGAAACAGCAGAGAGGCAGTCAGAGACACTAGTCAAGAGGGACGGGGAGAGTTCAGGAGAGGACAGGTAGATTTGAGTGTCATTTGCATAGAAATTATATTGGAAGCCAAAGGAGCAAATGAGTTTACGAAGGGAGGCAGTATAGATGGAGAACAGTAGGGGACCAAGGACTGAACCTTGGGGGACACCAACAGAGAGGAGTTGGGGAGAAGAAGCAGAGCCAGAGAAAGAAACACTGAAAGAGCGCTGGGACAGGTAGGAGGAGCACCAGGAGAGAGCAGTATCTTGTAGACTGATATTGCGGAGGATGAGAAGAAGCTGTTGATGGTCAACAGTGTCAAAAGCCGCAGACAGGTCAAGGAGAATTAGGATAGAGTAGTGACCACGAGATTTTGCAGCGAGTAGATCATTGGATACTTTGGTCAGTGCCGTTTCCACAGAGTGCTTAGCGCGGAAACCAGACTGAAGCGGGTCTAGCAGAGAGTTGGACTCGAGGAAGTCTGTCAATCTTGCATACACAATTTTTTCAAGGATCTTGGATGCAAAAGGCAGTAGCGAGATAGGACGATAGTTGGATGGGGAGTTAGGGTCAAGATTGGGCTTCTTTATAATTGGGGTTACAGTTGCATGTTTGAAGGGCAATGGAAATATACCAGAGGAGAGAGAGAGATTGAGAATTTTAGTGAGAGGTGGAGAAAGAGAAGAAGACAGAGTACGGATGAGATGCAATGGAATTGGATCTAGGGAGCAGGTGGTGGGGCGGGAGGACTGGAGCAGAGCAGAAACTTCTTCCAATGTAGCGGGTGCGAATTAACATAGAACAGCAGAGGAAGTGAAGTTAGGGGAAGTATTATAAGGGGAAGAAGAAAAATGAGATATCTCTTCTCTGATTGTAGAGATCTTGTCAGTGAAGTGAGTTGCAAAGTCTGAGGTGGTCAAGTTAGTAGGTGGAGGAGGAACAGCAAGGCGAAGAAGAGAGTTAAATGTGTGAAATAGTTGTTTGGGTTCGCAGGAGAGCATGGTTATGAGGGTATTGAAGTAATTAACTTTTGCAGAAGAAAGAGCCAAGCTGTATGAGCTCAGCATAAATTTATAGTGGAGAAAGTCAAATGCACAGTGAGACTTTCTCCAACAGCGTTCAGCAGTTCTGGAGCATTTTTGGAGGTATCAAGTGAGCTTGGTGTGCCAGGGTTGTTGTTGGGGGGGCCTGCAGCGTTTAAATGTACAAGGTGCCATGATGTCTAGTTGAGAGGAGAGGGTGGAATTGTAGAAGGAGGATCTAGAACTAGGACAGGTGAGGTTTGAGATAGGTAAAAGGAGAGTTTGGAGATTAGTGGAGACATGTCCAATGTCAAAAGTCAGCAGATGGTGGTCAGATAGAGGAAAGGGAATATTGGAGAGATGAAGGCAAGATCAAGAGTGTTTCCTGCTGAATGGGTTGCTAGATTGGACCATTACACTAGGCCAAAGGAGGAGGTTACAGAGAGCAGACGAGAGGCATCAGTGCAATTGGGGTTATTGATTGGGATATTGAAATCCCCAAGTATAAGGGAAGGAGTGCTAGATGAGAGGAAGTGGGGAAGCCAGGAAGAAAAGTTCTCAATGAATATTCTAGGATAACTAGGGGGGCGGTAGATGATAGCAATTCTTAAAGGAGTGGGTTTAAATAGGTGGACAGTGTGAACTTCGAAAGAAGAAAAGGATAGGGCAGGGGGAGTTATGATTGGTTAAAAGGTACATTGAGGGGAGAGAAGGATGCCTACGCCGCCTCCTTTACAGTTGAGTCTGGGAGTGTGAGAGAATTGTAGCCCACCAAAACATAAAGAGGCAGGAGTAGCGCTATAAGAGTGGGATAGCCAGGTATCTGTAAGCGCAAGCAGTGTGAGTGAGATGAAAAAGTCGTGTATGGTTGTTGATTTTAAATTACTGCAGATGGAGTGGGCATTCCAGAGTGCACAATTAATTTTGGTAAGTGGTAAAGGGCAGGGTATTGTGATGAGGTTTGTGGGGTTTCTGGTTGTCTTAGTGTGTGTAAAGAAGGTGAAGGGCCCTGGATTGGGAGAGACATCACCAGCTGCTAGAAGTAGTAGGAGAGAAAGTGACAGGAGGTGTGAATGGGTTTTGTATGCATGGGGTCTAGGATGAGATCGATTGTGGGTTGGAGTGAGAGAGTAGAAAAATGTAAGGCATGAGATGAGAGAAGGGGGGAGTGTAGCAGAGAAGGACATATGTAAATGTGGATGGGGGATGAGTGAAGTGGGTGTAAGGAGAGATTTTTATACTGAGGGAGACTGAGGAAATAAAGAGGAGGAGAAAACAGATCATTGCTAAACTGTGAAAAATAAAAATTGGAGATAATTGGAATATCAAGAGCAGGTGAAGGTGTTTTATGGGTTAAGAAAGTGCAGGAGTGTACTAATAAGAGGCAGATAGCTGGGACCTGAGCGCCCAACATATCCGAAAAGCGCTCAGACCCCACGGACATAGTCAAATCAACACTGGGGTGAATATTTGATCGACCACTCTCGAGATGCTTGCCCAAAATAGTTATATTGTTTTAGAGGTACCGGTCGGTCTAGTCCGAGATTTTTAAATGAATAAACAGGTGAATGGATAAAAAGGTGAATGGGTCCCCTACCTCATGGGGCAGTGTTTGTTCGGGAGATCCAGTCGAACAAACCTGCTGAACAGCGCTCTCCTGGCTTGCCGCGAACAGAAGCAGGCGTTCGTATAATTTCACTGGTGCTCAGGGCGTCGAGTGGCCGCCTCAGAGTTCCAGGCACTTGACGTCTAAGTCTCGCTGCCTGCTTTCATGCGACAAGGCCACACAAAGAGAGCACTGAATTCTGGTGGTTTGTTTGAACTTAATGAGCAAGGGGGATGGCCGTTGTTCGTACTTAGTCTCCTCGAATGGTAGCAGAATAGGGGAATAAAATATTAAGTAAATATCTGAACTGAGTAGGAGAATGACTTTGGGGAAAACAAAATAGGTGTTTTGTCACAGTGTCCTTTGAAATAAACTCAAAAAATCAAAAGTACATGGGGGATACTAAAAAATATCATTTTAAAAGGCCAATTTCAATAAGTTGCTTTACAATATATTGACTGGCATAAACTCTTTAGTGAAAATGACGGTGAGGATTAATGGAATATATTTAAACAAACATTAAAAAGGTACATTTCTCGGTGTTTATCATTACGTAATACATATAAAAGAAACAAATTGAAACCAATGTCGCTTAGTAGAAAAGTGTAATTAAGAAATTAAGGAATTAAGAAATGAAGAATTAAGGAAGCCAATAATGCGTTCCAGAAGACGATTAGATTCGCTAAACTTCAAAATGAAAAAGTCAAAGAGAGCAAAACCAATCCCAGAGCATTTTTTTAGGTACATAAATTCTAAAAACCTAAAAAATTAAATACTAAAACCCGGGCTGGGGGTGCTAGTTAATGAAGACCACGCAAAGGCAGATAATTTAAATAACTATTTCTCCTCCGTATCTATTAAAGAAAAACATATGACAATAGATATGCAAATTATTGCTGCAAAAAACTTGCAGAAAAATTGTAATTGGATGACTCAAGATAACGTGAGTCATCAAATTAAAGAAAGTTAATATAAACTAAAGAAAGTTAATATAAACAAAGCTCCAGGGCCTGACAGTATTCATCCACGGGTACTAAAGGAACTAAGTGCAGAAATAAGTGCAGCTCTGTTATTAATCTTTCAAGATTATTTTCTTTCAGGAAGTGTACAGAAGGATTGAGGTTCCTATATTCAAAAAGGTTTCAAAGTCCTTGCCTGGAAATTATAGATCTGTGAGCTTATATATATATATATATATATATATATATTCTGTGGCTGGGGAAGTATTTGAAAGGTTATTAAGGGATTCAAGAATTCCTTGAGAAGCATGTGGTTATCTGCAAAAATCAGCATGTCAAAACTAACTTGATTGCATTCTATGAATAAGTAGGTAGAAATTTTGCGTTTGATACAGTTCCACACAATAGATTAGTTTTCAGATTCAAAGAAATTGGTCTTCTTCTTGGGTAGAACATTGGCTTAAAAATAGAGTACAGAGAGATGTCATTAGTGGTAATTTTTAAGCTACACAGAGGTGAGGTTCCTATATTCAAAAAGGTTTCAAAGTCCTTGCCTGGAAATTATAGACTGTGGCTGGGGAAGTATTTGAAAGGTTATTAAGGGATTCAAGAATTCCTTGAGAAGCACGTGGTTATCTGCAAA